TCCTTCTGAAGTCCATTGTATGCATATATCACATTTTGTTTATCCATTCATTCACCTTTGAGCAGTTGCATTGCTTCTACATCTTGGCTATTGTCAATAATGCTGCTATGAACACGGATATACAAATATTTGAATCCCTGTTTTCAATTTTTTGGGGGTGTAAACCCAGAAATGGAATAGCTAGATCATATAGTAATTCTATTTTTAAGTTTGTGAGGAACCATCATTCCACTTTACATTTCTAGGACTGGATATTTTTAACTGTCCCTTCCACATCTAAAATTTTAGGAACCAATACTTGTTTTAAAAAATTCTCTTGAAGCAATTTCCTCTTTACCTGGAAATCTGCATCCATTAAACAAACAGTGAGGGAAATGCTCAAATGTCTCTCACCCCAGAAGGCCTTTCCTGACCTCTCTTTATCTTTGTAACACTTGGGTTATGTCCACTTACAGCACCCTTATTTACTAGGGTCAAACCTTAATCACTTTTTAAATTAAGTTGTTGTTTTTTCAAGAACATGAGCTTTGGGAAGGCAGAGATCATGTCTAATTCTTTATCTCCTCAATGCCTGATACAGAATAATTAAGCAGCAACGGCCTATTGAGTGAATGTGTGGATAGACTGAAATAAAATAGGGCCAAATAATTCCACACGACAAATTGAGGTAGTGATAAAAGTGGTAAAATCGGAGAATAATTTTTCTCTGGATGCAAAATATTTCCCAGGAGAGGCTGGGACCCAAATAATAGTAATGGTCAGCATGATAATTAAAATACCTAATACAGTGCTGCCCCAACCATCAGCTAGGGAGCATCTTCCTCACGTGGGCTGTGGGATACCGGCTTTAACATTCCTAAAAAAAAATCCTGCTCCTGCGCGCTGGCAGGCAGGAGGGTGCACTGGTTGTTTTCTTACCCATCAGCAGGGCAGCGCAGAAGGGGCATTCAATGCCCATCTGTGGCAGAGCCTGGAAGGGGCTTTCTCCATGTGTCCACATTCGACAATACAGAAAACTCATGTTTGATGCTGGAAGGACCTTAGCGTCCAGTTCTCTTGGATGATGTAGCTGAGTTTCAGAGAAGGGAAGAGGCTGTTCCCCAGCCACGTGGGAAGAGGGCTGCATCCTAGATTTGGAGGTGCAGACACATGCTCTCCCCACACCGTTACGACCTACTTTTAAACCACCTTGCTGAGTGATGGAGGGCAGACGCTTAAGTGGACACAATGAAAAGACACATCTCTAATTGAATGGGCCAAAATTGATGTCGCGGCCATCCGACGCTAAATAAAAGGCCCTGGACGATGGGCAAGCAGATGATATTTCTGGATTGCAACCCTCCTGGGCAAGAAGCCCTCTGGCCAGTCTGTGTTGGCACCTCTGCAAATACTCCCTTTGGGCAATTTTGCACCAAACCGGTATGAAGAACGTCCAGAGATCGCGGGGCGTAGAAACGATTGTCCCTGTGTCGGCCTGGAAAGCAGCAAAAGGAGGATAGGATGCTGTTTGCTGCCTGCTGGGCCGGACCAGAGCTCGCAC